ACAATATATATGTGTATATGTGTATGTATACTTTTTCTTTATGAAGGGGCTCTGTTCCCTTCACTGTTGACAGGGCATTGGGGGAGCAGCTTGCTCTGTTGACTCCCGCTTGGTCCTACAGTTAGTGGGCGCTTTTGGTTGTCTTCCAGCCTCTGGCGGCGGCGGACGGCTTCCTCCCCTGTGCTTCGTCATGTCATCTTAGTGGGAGCGTTGGACGTTGTCGATCCATCCCATCCTTCTGGGGTTCCCGTCTGCTCTATGCAGACACGGGCTTGGCGAATCTGCGGTTCTCTGGACTTCTTCAGTCTGCGCCCTGGATTCTATGCCCTCATCGGAGGACTGTTGTCTCCAGTCCGGCTTCTGTGGGGGCCGGGTGCCTAGATGGTGGCCCTGGACCTCCAAGTCAATTATTGGCACGTTCTTCTCCAGTTTTCCAGGACTGGCACAGTTGGTGGTGGGCTTCAGGCTTGCCGCTTTTGTTGCCTTCCCTAGTTTGTAATTGGCACTTGGTGTATTAACGCATCTTTACCAGATTTTGGTGCCCTGTCTGAGTCTGCTTGGGATTCGGTGTCTGGCCTACCTCGATGACTGGCTGATATGTGCTCCCAGTCGGTCCGCTTGTCTGCTCGCCAGGTGTTTGGTTCTTTCCAGATCGCCGGGTTTGGTTTCCTAGTGATTTGGAGACCATTCCATCTGTTTCCATCCCGGGTTCGAACCTGGCTGGGTCTTGTTTAGGGGTCTTGGGCCGCTCCTTGTCCTTCCCTCCAGAAGTGTTGTTGCGGCTGTGGTCCCGCCTTCGGCTGTTCATGAGGGGTCCCGGGTTACTCGGCGGTTGCTTGAGAAGTTGTGCGGGAGTCTGAACTTCGACGTGCTGGTCTACCCGCAGGGTTGGGTTTGGCTTCGGCGTCTGTTTGGTTCCTTCAGAGACTCCCGTTCTGCCTGTCTTGCAATCGTTGGGTTCGTTTCTCTGGGGATCTTGTGTTGGTGCTGCGTCACCAGCTTCCTCTTTGGGGTTTTCGGGGTTCCGTGCCTTGGCACCTCCCCCTAGCCTTCGCTCGATGTGTTCACGAACGGGACATCTCTCGGCTGGGGCTTTTGACCAGTGCTCACCAGGTCGGCCGGGGATGGTGGGGTCTGTCCGTCTGTCGGGCTCACAGCACGGCTCGGGAGTTCGTGGCTGTCTGGTTTGCGCTTCGGAGGGTTCGGGTCACTCAGTGCTCTACCATTCAGCTCCATTCGAACTGTTCTGTGTCGGTTCTTTGCCGGAACCACAGGGTTTCTCTTAGGTGTTTGCCTTTGGGGTTGGTCCCTTCAAGTGGCTTGTTTGCTGGATTCTCGGGGTTTTGCTTACCATGAGGTTCATGTCCGGGTGTGTCCTACATCCTGGCGGACAGCCTGTCTTGGTTCATTCCTCTGTTAGCGGATTGGCCAGTTGTCGCCGACTCGCTTCGTTGGCTCTGCCAGACGTATGACCTCCTGGCCATTGACGTCTTTGAGTCGGCGTGGTCTAGGCATCGCCCATTCTATGTGGCACCCTTACCCGCCTGCGAGGCGTTCACGGTGGATGCCTTTCGGCAGGACTGGTCGAGGTGGGGGTACCTGTTCCTCTTCTCCCGGTCCAGCTGTTGCTTCGGGTTCTGGCTCGGTTGGAGCCCATTCCCAAGAGAGTAGTCCTCATAGTCCCTTGGTGGCCGGCCCAGTTTTATTTTCAGACGATGCTCGATAGGTGTCCGAACCCGAGACGTTTTCCTGCGGCTGCGCCTCTTTCGGCAGGTCGGACTGGTCCTATACACGACTGGTTAGACCTTCTCCTCGGTTCTTCGCGTCTGGTATTTTGACGAGGGTATCACCATCTCTGTGGTGATCAGGTGGCTTTGTTGATGGTGTCCCACCTGCGAGCTTCATCTCGGTGACAGTATGATGTTCCTGGTGTTTCTATGCACCTTTTTTCTTGCTCTTCGTAGGTTGTCTTCTCTTTCACATCAGGTTGTCTTGTCCTTCTTGGGTTTTCAGGACTACAGTTATTTGATGTTTCTTATTGTCGTCTTGTTTTGTGCGGCGCTGGCGGAGCCGCTCCGGCTTGCGTTCGGTGTGGACGTCACATCTGCCCCGTTCCGTACGCTTTCTCGTGTTTTGTTTCACCTCCGGCTTGCTCATGCGTCGCCTGAGCCATCCTGGTCCTTAATTAGGGTGTCCTCTTATCTTCTCAGTTTGTGGTAGCCCCTTTGGTTCAGGTTTCTGCTCTTTGGTTCTGGTGGTAGGTTTGTATGTTTGCAGCCTTTCTCCGTCCTTCTGGCGACGGTCGAGACGGCTGCTTCCAAGGAGGTCCATGGGTTATTGATGCTTGATTGGTTCGGCTGTGGGTGTGTCCTGTGTTGTACGGTTGCGCTATTTTGCCATTACCTGCGTACCGTGTCTGGGGATGCGCTTTGTGTTGATTCAGTTCCCCTCGTTCCCTGTTTCAGGGCTCGGGTCTCCCAAGTCGTTCGCAGAGATTTTAGGGCTATCAGCCTGCGGTCTATCCTTGCGCCCTATGCTGTTCGGACGTTTGCAGGTTTCGCTGCTGTGTTGGTGACGTCTAGGGCTTTTTCGGGCGCGTGATTTAAGGGTCACTCAGGTTCCTGGCCGCCCGTTCTTTATGCGCGCGTCTGCTCCTGTGCATTCTTGATGCCTTGGGTCGCAGGTTGCAGCCTGTTGTCTTGGCTTCGCGTTGCGGAGTTTGTGGCGGCTGCCTCCCGGGTCAGCCCTTTTCTTTTCCTTCTCTGTGGGTATAAAGCTCCAGGGAGCCATAGGGGCTCCCCACAGAAAACCAGCATTGAATGTAATGAAACGCCATTTTCTGGGTGAGCCCCGGGGGCTCCCTGGCAACCCTTCCTCCCACCGGTCGGCGTTTTTTTTTGCATTAGTTGAAGCTTAGCTTTCGCACTGATGCAAGGCAGCTGACGTGGTGAGATCCGGGGCTCCCCCTTCCCCCTCTCGGGGCAGGGAGGGCTGTACCGACGATTGGCGCGGCAGTAAAGCGTGATGTTTGCTTGTTTTCTTGGGATTGTAGGGAGTTTCTACCTCTCTGTTTGGTTTTTATTTTATTTTTTTACCATGTGGGGTTTGTTTTGTTATGCCTACCTTTCTGGGTGCCTAACCCCGGTCGATGGCAGATAAGGAAAACCCCAACAACAGGGGGGTTTTCCAGGACCATTGCTTCCTGAAACCTCTCTGAAGGGGCCAGGTTCTGGCACTGGTCCCTGGTAGGTCTGAACTCCTTAGCTAATGTCCCGGTCTAATATAATATACATTAGCCCGATAAGCTCTAGGGAGCCTCCGGGGCTCACCCAGAAAATTGCGTTTCATTACATTCAACGCTGGTTTTTTTCTTTGTTATAGTTCACAACATTAAATACCAAGTAATGGTATCGAAAGTTCCCAGTCAGCACATCACAAAAGTTAGCAAAAACTAATGCTGATCTTGATCTTGCATGATGCATGACTCACTTGCGTAATTAGATTACCTACTGTTTATTTGTTATACTAAATCCCATATTATTCCATTCCAATTGTATGTGGAGTTAGAGGTTCCACCTTTTTATAAAAGTTTCCTCATCTGAAGCCCATATTATAATTTGTGGTTGAAATCTAAAAAAAAAAAAATGATCAACATCATTTGCAGGTTACAATAAAAGTAATTATATACTATACTGTATACTTATTTTAATAATAATGTTTTAAATTTCCTGTATAAAGGAAAAAACTATTATGCAAAATTTTCATGCACCTGTTTCAGTTGTGTGCAGTCAATTACTCCATAAATGTCTATAATGTGTTCTGGCTTTCTATAACATTTACATTTCCACATGTCTATCTACCTGCATTTAATGTTGATAATGATATTTTCTATTTTATAAAAATCAAAATTTTAAGATCAAGAATTGTTGAATTAAGAACGAGTGTTAAGTTTGGTCACAGTGATAGCCAGCTGTCAATCAACCAAAACAATGTAAGTAAGCCTCAATAGGTACAACAAAGGGCACCTGATGACACATTTACATACTGGTTTTATTGGGTTGTCACATTTTTTACTGTCATGATCCTGGCCATTTTAGTACTTAAGGTAGACAAGTGGTTCTGACAAAGGCAAGAAACTGACTATTTGGATGTCTTTACCGATTTATTTGGAATATTTGATTCTCAATTTTGCTTAGACTTAGGATGTGGCTTTTAAGGTCTTGCATTCAGATCTTTTATATAATAAGTAATTGAATATTTGATCTTTGAATCTACAGTAAGCAATAGTATTAATTTTTCCCATGTTGTTATGAATATGCTGTAGGCAGGAAATTTCCTAGTGTGAAGCTTTGCACACTGGTTGTGTGTGTGATGGTGATGGATTTTAGTGGAGACATATAGACTGGAGGTTATCATGGGAGGATCAAGAAGAATGGTAGCAATCATCATGCTAATGAGCAACACCACTAGGTCACCTGCTCATATGAACCATTGATTTATAATAGGATGATTATATTCTTGATGACTCTGCTCATCCACCTGAAGAAGGCAAAATGTATAAAACTTGAAATTAAATTGCTCGTTGTTCAATTATTAGCATTCGATGGTGGTTCTTTGATATCATGAGCATATTCGATCATAATTCATATCTCATTTATTGATAAATAGCCCAGGGTTGACAAGGGACAGAATTATAATTTAAATTCTTGAGATGGTATATTAAATTAAACAAATACTTAAAAACAAAAATTTAGATTCATTCATATGCATGCGTGTATACTTCCAAAATTTTGTCCAGTGTGTCCATGTTAATAGCTTTTCATAGTAAGTCTCATTGAATGATACATTTTACGTAAGTCACTCATACATGTTATAAGATTTTTAAATAAAAAATTATTTTTAAAAAACTTACAATTTCAATATCAAAGTTTTTGAAATAAGCCTTGAGTTCTGTGTCAAACTTTGCATTAATAAACCATTTCTTCCTCTCTTCCATTCAGGAGATGGAGACTTTGTTGGTTGGCAAGGTAGGAACTCGCCTGGCAAGTTCCCTCTCCACCAATCAGATCTTGGATTGATCCATCTCCATCAGTCAGAGCTCAGGAGTGAGCCATTTCCACCATTCAGAGCTCAAGATTGATCCGTAGCCAATCAGAAAGCTTAGGAGTGAATCATTTCCACCAATGAGAGCTCAGGATTGATCCACTTCTTCCAATCAGAGCTCAAGATTCTTCACCAATCAGAAGATTAAACCAGTCATTTAGTACCCCGGATTAATCTACAATGCCTGTTAGAGCTCCGGATCAACCCATAATTCTTTCACTATAATATCTAAATTAATATGACAGTGAGCTCTGATTTTAAAAGTCAAAGATTGTAAACCTACTATTGTTGTGCTGCTTTATGGATACATTAATATTGGACATTAACACAATAATTCAGAGCTCTATCCATACATATTGTGGTGCTCCTGTGTTCTATGTTTGTTCAGAGTCCCATCGGCCCTATGGCATCACTCCTATCACCCTCACCTCACTGGCCTGGCTTTCGTAAGCTACATGTCAATCTACCAAACAGGTTCTTAGGTATTGTGGAATATTAAGTCTTATGTAATGGAGGCAAACCAAGTCTCAAGTGAGAATACTAAGATGTTGCTATACAGCCTTCTTCACTTCACTGATTCCACATTGGCAACTAAATTACAAGTACTGTATAATGCAAATTCTGTGAGGTGTAATTTATGGATAACTAATAACCATTTGTTTTATCAGTATTGCATACAGTCATATAAGGGGAAAATTATATATATTTTTCATTCTATCTTCCATAAAGTGTATTGGAGGTGTAAGGATTTATTGGAGCTTCATGTGAGACTTGAAGCACTATCCAAGTTTATTTTACTTGACATAGTGTGGTGCACATAGAGAGAGATAACTGATAAGTCTTTAAAAAATTAAAAATAAATAGATCGTGCACATAGGAATTTAAAAATACTGTAGGTAGATTTGATGAAGAGAGTACATAACATTGAATCAATAAGTGGCAGAAAAGTAAGAAGTACAGATATGTTTCCCTACATCACAAGGGTATGTTACAGAATTGAACTTTGAATGGGCTGTTGAAATGAACACTAGACTTGGTAAGGTAAAACAAATTTTTTTTCCAATTATAATTTATCCCTGGAAAAGGTGGATTATAGATTCTAGGTCTCTTGAGGGCTTGCATATGTGGTTCTTAAGTAAAAATATCTACTTAAATATTTGGTTAGAATCTTTGTAATTTCTTGCTCTGTATAAAAACATAGAGACATTGTGGGGAGTGTGAAATGTTTAGGTCACAGTGTGTATGCAGTAACATGGATGAGGATCCTGTTAAGTAATGGGAACCAGTTAAAATTGATATTGCCAAAGACTCAACCACTAGGTTCTTTTAAATATTCTCTTAAATGTAATTTCTAGATCATTTGGGCTGTATAACTCTGGATCTTGTTTAAGAACTTTGTATAAATCTTAAATGCCCTGCAAATACTTGTGTAGATTGGGTTATTGCATATCCTCATAAAAAGGGAACTGGGTTATTGTGGAATTTACCAAATATGTAGTGTTTAGGTGATGAGAACAGACCAACATGTGGAACCTAGGCTGTAATGTCATTAACAAATTATCATTCAATATTACACCATTAAAAGAGCATTAAAATATATTGTATTAAGGTTCCGAGTTGGGAACTGTTGTTTGCAGGGGATAGGTACAATGGGGATGTCAACATTGTGTAGGCTGTGAGGAATGTGATGTTTATTGTGTAGGCTGTGGTGAGAGTGCACTATATTACCAATAGTGAGGACCTCACACTCTAGTGCTTATATAATGGTGAAAACACTGATAGGTATCCTGTATACATAAACATGTCAAATGTGTTTAGAATACTAACTCATTTGTCATTGCAGCTAAGTGGTCAGTGGTCTTATTTCACATTGCTATATTATTTGAACGTAAACTAACTTTAGAAAATGTATATTTATTGTTTGTTCATTTACCCTTTTCATTTCGAAAGTTAGAGAATCCTGTTCTTGATCCTGGCCAGGTGCATTATTAAGTGATTATTTGCATTACATTCCAGGAGAATATTAGATAAATTTAGGCTACACTTAAAGATAACTTCTCTAAGATGATGTCATACAAAAGGTGATTCAAGTACTACACACTTGTCCTACTACAGTAACTGGGGTCTCAAAGTTACTGTTGATACACCCATAATACATTCACTTTGGTAATGTTATTACATTAATTACTTGATAAGCAGATCTTTAATGGTATTATTTTGGGTGCTTAATGATGATGATAATAAAAATATTAATAATAATTTTTTATATAAAAGTACATACATTAGATACATGGAGCAGTGGAGAATTTGTAGGTAAGAAATATACATTACATAAAGCCACTAATTATTACTTTCAGCAGCTAGAAATAGATGTGATAACTCTCATAGCACAGTTTGGTCACTGTTAACACCCTTAATGGTTAAACCAGTGCTTTTAATTACATTCATTGTTGTAGCCGTAAAAAGATAACTGATAGACATCTCCAGTAAAACGGAAATTAACCTTTATCTCAGTGTGCAATAATGACCCTAAAACTTGTGGACTGGTTTACTTATAAAATGTTCAATATGGCCTTCAAACCTACCAGTAAATGTGCCTTTCCTCGGCAAAGATTATAAAAGTTTATAGTAAAAGTTTCATTAAAATTAGTTACATTTTTTATTTAAAATATAGAAATATTCCTTGTGGAACTGCACATCATGGAAGTTTTCTTTTTAATGATGCCAACCAGTAAGTTCATATTTGTCATTGATATGCAACTTGGCATAGTTTTAAGTACTAAGTATGACAAGGTTAAAGGTGTACTGCAAGTTGATATTACAAGTATTATATTACCTAAGATAATGATGATAATGATATAAATACAACAGTAAATATACAAATATTGTATAACTAATAGCATCTTGAGTAAGAAATAAAAATTAGTTTTCGAGTTTTTTTCTTTTATCTTCAGGGCGGCAAAAGGTAGTTTACATAACTGTACTCTTTTTGAGAAGTAGGTATTATAGTTTTAGGAGCAGCTACTTAAGAATTTGTTCTGGTAGTTTTGGCAGAGGGCCAGTTACCATTATCATGTCCATCATTATCGTGTCTATATTCTGAACTGTCAATGTTCAGCGACAGAAGCAAGGAAGGATTTATGGGGAGTGTTCTGTGATATAAACTTTATATTGCTCCATTACCAACATCATAGAGATGCTTACCACTTTTGCACAGAATATCCCATATCATACCATCCTTTTGTCTGGTCTGTGATGCAGTTTCTTGTCCCTCTTGTCTGGCTTTGCGTGTGTGTTAATCCGTCTGATGTATGTATTTTAATGGGGGCATGACAGCCATGGCCAGGTTTTTGTTTGATATCTCTTCCCCATACTTTGCGTATGGATAGTTTATGGTAGTTAATGTGTCTGATGCCTTGATATGTGTTTGTGAAAAGTTATTTACCTGTGTCATTTTCGTTTATATTGAAAGTAAATTTTCAAAGCTCGGTAATTTTAATCAAAGGGACATTGTAATTTGTTGTTGAATATAAAATTTACTAAATCAAGGTCTTGGATTGGCTTAAAGAGGCTATGTTCCCCCTTTTATAATGATTGTGTAGTAGGCCCATGAAGAAAGTAATGTTAAACCTAAATTTTAACAGTTGTGAACTTTTACAGGTCCTCCAGGGATGAACCCCAGAATGGCAGGTCCTAGAGGACCTGCTATGGGTCCCGGACCTGGTATGGGCCCTATGGGTCCAGGAGCATATGCCCCAGGAATGAGAGGACCACCACCAAGTAGTATGGGTCCAGGTGGACCTGGAGGTCCAGGAGGACCAGGTCCTGGTGGACCAGGACCTGGCATGCCTCCAATGAGCATGGGAGGTCCTGGCCCTAGACAACCATGGACACCAAACACATCTACTGTGAGTAATTACTCATTTATGTTTTTATTGCCATTTATATTGTTGAAATCTAGCTTTAAAACAATAATTTTTATTTAATTTTAAGTTTTTGGAATAAAGTTTGTCATTACCTCCACTTTAAAATGGTGCATTTGCATTTTGTTTGCAAAGTTTTTTCTTTGCTGTATGTATTCACTAAAAATCTGCAGTTTCCATTGAGTATAAGAAAAGACATTCATGACATTGGTATAAGGAATAGTTTATTTCATATTGCCTTAGTCATAAGGGCTATTTCTGTGGGGAGCCCCGTCGGCTCCCTGAAGCTATCCATACTGATAAAGTGCCTCGCTACTGGGAATCATCAGTAGCAGAGTTCTTGTATGCCTAGCAGGGACAATGAACCAGAATCTGGCCCCCTCAGAGAGGCACAGGGTTCAATGGCCCATGAACTCTTTACATTTAAAGTTTGTCATCTTGCCATCGACCAGGGAAGGCACCCAGAAAGGGTAGGTGAATCAAAATAGACTACTGCCTGGTTGAAAAATGTGACCTATACCCTCATATTATAACAAGAACTCCCCCACAAAGAAAACAAACAGGCAAAGCTTCCCCACCCCCCACCCATTGGGGGGAGTTGAGAGCTGGGCTGATGTCAACTGTCGGGAGCCGGTCGGCCGAGCGGACAGCACACTGGACTTGTGATCCTGTGATCCCAGGCGCCAGCGAGAAACAATGGGCAGAGTTTCTTTCACTCTATGCCCCTGTTACCTAGCATTAAAATAGGTACCTGGGTGTTAGCTGTCACGGGCTGCTTTCTGGGGGTGGAGGCCTGGTCGAGGACCGGGCTGCGGGGACACTAAAGCCCCGAAATAATCTCAAGATAACCTCAAGATAACATCAGTCAGTTCTTTACTGCTGTCGTGCCTGGTGGTCATCTGCTCACTCTAGCCACAGTTTCCCATTTTTTGTTTAGGTGTTTTGCCTTGTGAGGCTGTTCCATGATGCTTGCCTGGAGTTTAGAATAATGGAGCTGCATGCACCAAATCATCTTTCCTAAGTGCTCCATAAGTACTGTCCTTGCGTGGCCAGGGTTATCTTCCATCGAGCAGGTCAGGAATCACGCTCTGTTAGAGGACAACCTCACTTGGGGTGGTCTTCACCCTTGAGGTGCATCAGGGGCTTTTAGCTTTCTGTCTTGCCCTAGGTAGGCGAGTATTGTCAGCTGGTGGGGTGCACTGCAGCTAGCGTTGCTGGCGCTTCAGATAGCTAGGGTGTGTCGGATTCTCCCAGACTACTTGTTTACTGTTGGAGGGTCTTGGGGGGAAGGGGGTGTTTCATTCCTTTTCCTATGATAGCGTTTTTTTTTTTTTTTTTTTTTTGCGGGAGTTCTGTCTTTTGCCTTATTAGATAAAAGGGGTTCATGTTCAAGGGTGTCCAACGTCCTGGCAGATGGCCTGTCTCACTTCATTCCACTTTCCATGGAGTGGACAGTCGACACAGAGTCCTTCCTTTGGCTTTGCTGGACTTACGGACGCCTGGATGTGGATCTCTTCATGTCCGCTTGGTCTTTGCTTCTTCCTCTGTACGTGGTGCCGTTTCCCGACTGCAAGGTACTTGCGGTGGATGCTTATCTACTGGACTGGCCGAAAGAGGGCTCCTGTATCTTTTTCTTAGTTCCACCTTTTGCTCTGGGTGGAATCTTACAGAGGGAGAGTGATACTTCTGGCTCTACGGTGGCCAGTCTAGCCTTGATTTCAGGCACGGCTTGCTTGGTGTCTGAACCCGAGGGGTTTTCTGCGGCTCTGCCTTTATCAGCAGGTCGAACAGTTGAGATATCTCGCTGGTTCGACCTTCTCTGCAATACGCCTCTGGTATTTCTAATGCATGTTTATCTCCATTTGTATTGTGATCAGGTGGCTGGTTTGATGGTGTCCCACCTGCAGTCATCTTCTCAATGACAGTATGAGGTTTCTTGGTGGGCATTCTGCCATTTTCTTTCTTTCCGTTGGGCTTTGTCTGTATCTGACAGGGTTGTTTTGTCTTTTTGATAAAGACAAAACAATAAAGAACTGGATCAAGAACTTAGCTTTCAAGACTTGGCTTTTTTGGATCGGTATTTCGTGCCAAATACTGTCACTTCTTATCGCATGGATTTGGCGGAGCCACTTCAGCTTGCGGCTGAAGCGGCTCAGGGTGGAGGTCACTTCTGCTCTGTTCTGCAAGCTTTCTTGTGTGTTTTTCACCTGCCTGATCGTGCATCATTTGAGCTTGCTTGGTCTTTGGACTTGGTTCTTTCTTTTCTTGCTTCACCTTGGTTGGTGGTGGCCACTTTGGTTTGGGATTGTTCTTAGAAAGCTTTGTTTTTGTTGGCTTTGGCCTTTGGTGGTCTGGTTGAGGAGTTTCATGCTCTTCACTGGCACCAGGGATTTTGTTCTTTTGGTCTTGGTGGTCATTTTGTTCGGTTGCAGTCAGATCCTTCTTTTCTGGGGGAAGAATGAGACGGCAGGCTTCCAGAGGGGTCCTTTGGTTGTGGATGCTTGGTTGATATGTCTGGGTGTGTATCATGTGTTAAGTCCGGTAGCAGCTTTGCGCCGCTACCGGTGGGTCTGTGTTGGTGGATGCACTGTGGGTTTAACTGGTTTCCCTGGTTCCCTGTTCCAGGGCTCATATGTCTCGAGCTGTCTGCAGTGTCATTAAGTCTAGCCTCATGCCTATGATGTGCTGTAGTATACCACTCTGTCACCTATGTTCAGGAACATGTTTTGAGATGATATTTTGACATGGGGGTTTGAGAGGTCTAACAGGGTCCTGGCAGTCAGGGATTTGGTTAACATCACTCGCCCTTTGCAACCTTGTGTGTGGTGTTTTGGGGAGGCTGTTGCTGTCTCTTCTTCGAGTTGATGTGCACAGTGCTGCTGCCTCCCTAGTAAGTCAGTTGTTTCCTTTTCTGTGGGTAGTTAGCCTCAGGGAGCCGACATGGCTCCCCACAGAAAACTATTGTTGAATGTAATTAAACGGCAGTTTCTGGGTGAGACCCGGAGGCTTCCTGACACCCTTTCCCCCTTCGGTTGGCGACTTTTATCATTGAAGAACTGGCTGGTGGTGGTCCAGCTCACCTGGGCCAGCTCCCCCGGGCCAGCTCCCCCGTCTCCTCCAATGGGTGGGGGGTGGGGGGGAGGTGGAGCTAACTAACAGGTTAGTTGAATGAAGTTATGCTTGTTTTTCTTTGTGGGGGAGTTCTTTTAATATTTTGAGGGCAAAGGTCGCATTTTGCAACCAGGCAGTGGTCTGTTTTGATTTGCCTACCTTTCTGCATGCTTCCCTGGTCGATGGCAGGATGACAAACTTTACATGTAAAGTGTTCATGGGGCCATTGCTCCCTGCGCCTCACTGAGGGGGCCCAGGCTCTGGATCGTGGTTCCTGTTAGGCATACAAGAACTCTGTGACTGATTACTACAAGTAGGGTAGCACTTAATCAGTAAGCTAGCTTCAGGAAACCTCTGGGGCTA